ATTAATAAAATAATATTACAAATTAATTATATTTAACGCAACAATTCATCATAACATAAAATTTTTATCCAAATTTTTTTTGCAGTTGAAAAATTATTAATAAATTGAATTGCCCTAGTTCTAGATTTCCTTATAATACTTGGTCATCTAGTTTAACTTTTTATTTCTAAATGAGGCAGAGTCACAACCCCTTCTAAAACCCCTATTGTTTCTGAATCTGTTAGGGCAAATATTACAGAAATTGCATATTAAAAGTAGGACTTATTAAGTTTTGAAAATTATTTTTAACTAAATTATTGATTATTCTTTGTATTTAAAATGTTATGATATAAACTTGTTAAATCAATATTCAAGTCACTTGATAAGATGAAATAATTTTTTTTTCAAAGTGTCCTAAGAAACATCCAAATGTTTTGTTTATTCTGAAATGTCATAACTGTGGCATTTTCTGAAATTTACCATTTTCTATGCATTTTTTGATTAAAAATGGTTAGCGGTAAAGAATTCCGTTCAACGATTAGACAACCGTTACCGGGGGCCCCTAAGAGTAAAGAATGTCGAATAGTGCCTGCTTTCACAATTCAGGCACTGCAAAAAAACACATGTATCCTTCCTCCTCCCAAATGCAACGTTTTGAAACCGAGACCACCGAAATCGACGCAGTTTAGGGTGCACTATAAACGAGGGGAACTACCCATTGCATTGGACGCAAACAGAAGGCTTTCCTGGAAGGTCTATAGGAAATTGTTTTAATATTCAACTGCTCTTAAATCATATTTGACCCTTTTAGGTTGATATACATAAGTTGGATTACCACCATTACTTGCCAATGTTTTTTGACGGTCTTTGCGAGACTGAAGCACCTTATAAACTTTTTGCTGAGACTGCAATTTATGATATGTTGACTTATGGTCCCCATAAAGTATTCCCCTGCATTCCGCAACTGATAATACCTCTCAAAAGTATCAAAATAACTACAAAATAGTCAGAAAATCTTAAATTAATTTATTTTTTTTTGCAGCTGCTCTGAATACCAAAAGTAAAGCCATAATGTGCACAGTCCTTAAAGTAATGCAAGCTCTGGTCAAATGTGACGATATGGTTGGTGAAGCCTTGGTGCCCTATTATAGGCAGCTCCTTCCTGTCCTTAATTTATATAAGGAGAGAAACGGTGAGACAAATAAATAAAAATAAACAGGGAGTCCAAACTAAGAATCTCTCTTTTGTAGTTACCAGTCTATTAAGTTTAAAANCAGCAAATACCGTAGCAACACAAAACAGGGAATCCTGTAAGAAATCAAAAATTTGCTATCAGAATTTGTACCCTTCCAATTAGCCAATTTTTGACAAATAAAATTAAAACTTACATTTATATACGTTTCACTGATATGCGTGTCAGTCTCTGAGTCCCAAAGGCAAATAAAACCACTCTTAACACCTTGTCCCCTTCTTTCTCCCATGTTTACATGAACTATGTGTTTGTATCTCTTCAATTTCAGCTCTATAATAATATGTAAAATAAAAATATTAGGAAATTCTAATATATGCAGATAATATTAAGGCAATGCACCTTTTACTGCATGATTAATGCGGTTAGCAATACTAGTGGTTAGGTTTTTGATAGTTTCACTGTCGTATTCCATAATGGATAGTATGAACGACGGGGAACTAGACAGTCGCGATGGGGCCAAACTTTTTTCGAAACAACAGGGTCGTATCACAAGGGTCGCACAAGGATCAGGTGTTACAGGTAAGTTTCTATCATTATTTTTTTATTATTATACACTGTTAATAAATTTTATTTACCCTTTTTAAGAACGTGAAGTCAAAGACCTAATAACGCAATACACGAATTTTGCGGCTGTCGTTAAGAAAATGGGCGGAATTAAGGGGCTGTTTAAAGGGGGCGACATGGCCAAGAACGTGAATCAAGCACAAATGGCAAAATTGAACCAGCAAATGGCTAAAATGATGGATCCACGAGTATTACATCAAATGGGAGGAATACCAGGTTTACAAAACATGATGAGACAATTACAAGCGGGTGCCGCGGGAGGTATGGGAGGTCTGGGAAACCTTATGAACAGTTTCGGAAAATGATAAAATTCATTTAAGTTTTAATTACTGTTCTCGTTCGTCCTAATATTGTACATAGTTTTTGAAATACACGAAGATCACTGGATTATTATTATTATTATTACAATTTTTAATTTAATACATAATTTTGTTGATGTGTATTTTTATTTTCCTTTTTATAAATAAAGAGATATGCGTTAAATAATTTTTATTTGCTCCGTTTTTAAATCTTCAACGTTATCTTTAAAACGAAACTATAATCAATTTAATGGTAGAAAATTCAATCGTTTAATTTTCTATTTTTAATTTAATTGATTAAATAGATGCATTTTAAACAAAGTCTTAAGGCACACTTTCCCCTTCCTATATACTATTTTCCGGCGTCCTCTTTCAGACCGACTGTCNGTGTCAGTCTCTGAGTCCCAAAGGCAAATAAAACCACTCTTAACACCTTGTCCCCTTCTTTCTCCCATGTTTACATGAACTATGTGTTTGTATCTTTTCAATTTCAGCTCTATAATATGTAAAATAAAAATATTAGGAAATTCTAATATATGCAGATAATATTAAGGCAATGCACCTTTTACTGCATGATTAATGCGGTTAGCAATACTAGTGGTTAGGTTTTTGATAGTTTCACTGTCGTATTTCTTTGCAGCTAGTGATTCTGCTAAAATGTTTCGAACAATTTCTTTTACCATCAATTCTTGGAATCTTTAAAATAACAGAAAAACAATATACAATTCTATCCATACGAAAAAATTACAACTTACTTGTCTTCCGCAGGAGGTTTCATTTGATAGGAACTTGAAATTGGAGTTACATTTTCACGTTCCAAGAAACTACTTTTCATGCTTTCATCCATTTTGAAGACACCAATGAATTTTTACTACATACTTATAATAAAAAAAGCCTATTATTTACTATTCAAATTAAAATTCAGTTTAATAAAGTTTTAAGGTTAAGTAACTTTTCTTGGTTTGAAGCAAAGAAGCCATTTAGCCACTTTTCATCGTAAGATTTATATAGTGTCTAAACAACCCACAGAAGGTATTTTTAAACATTTTATTTCAACGGATTTACTAAAATTGAGTTGAATTTCATTTTTACAATGCCGGAAAACGCTTTTTAATTCAAAATAACATTTAAAGTAAAACAAATGCTAAAAAAAATAATTAAATATGATATGAAACAAATAAATTTAATATTTCAAATGTAAATAAAAATACGCTAAAAATGGAGTTTCTGGAATTAATAGATTAATAAAACAATAATTCATTGTTTTTCCTATTTTTATATTATCAAAAATTAGTAGTGATTAGTTAAGAACAAACTAGTTGTCAAAACTGACATGAAACTGACATAAACCGAAAATATTTTAACCTTATCAAAAATAATATTTTTCCTAAGTGAAAAGTGATTGTTCGAAAAATTGAAAAATATTCTTAAGAAAAGCTTCAAATTAATGAATAATTAACAAAAGTATATAGACAAGTTGTAGGGTCAAACGGGGAGTTTTAATTTATAACTGTTTATCTCGTCAACACCCGTGACAATCAGCTCTACGTAATAAAATGACTTATTGAAATTATCTTGATTGAAATTAAACTTTAAAAATGTTTTTAGTATGATAAGTATTATAAAACGTAACAAAGTGCTGATTAAATGTTCGTTGTGCGTCGATTTTTTGCGGGTTATTTGTTATGTATCTAGATAAACAAGTTTAAAACGTCAACAAAGTGGTAAGTTTAGAAGTGATTGTTTTCGAAAACGATAAACCTTTTGTACAAATTTAAAAGCTAATTTGTTAATTTTAATAAAAACATATGTCCTTTCTCACCTGTTTTTGTAGATGTAAGTATGTTCAAATTCAGCATGGATGTTACTGAAGCAAAATCGTTGTGGGCCATCCCTGTGTACAATTCTTCTTGTGGTTAACTAAGAAAAAAATAACATGGTATTACCAGTGAAACCAATAGCAGATAGTAAAGGCTCTCAAGTTACAAGGAACGGAGACAGAAGGCAGTCATACTTTGGAATTATAAGGGCAGACAATTCTGTTTGTCAAGAGAAAAGAAGGGCTGTATGTTCTTGGTATGGGTATGGTACTATTAAAGAAAACTCGATTAAACCACTAAAAAATACTATACTATTAGAAAATCAGAATCACCATTTGATGACCACTTTAGCCACACCACATGCTACCACTCAAAAAACCTGTTGGCCCCGTAGCCGTGTAGACTTTTTGGCCATGCCCGAATTAAAATCATTGGTGAATAAACGACGCAATAGCGGTTCAGGTTTAGAAGCCGACTCTACATCACCTTTAGTTCAAAACAAGCCGAGTTCAAGTTCAGCAATAAGACCTTCAGCTAGCTTGGCTAGCCTGAAAAAATGCGAGATGTTACTCGCATCTACTGGCTTATTAAAGCCTGCTGTATCGACGAATAGCACCGAAAAAATACAGCCTATGAACAGGTTGAGGGTGTCACCTTCAGGATCCACTTCAAGACTATGTTCAAGATGTTCCAGTTTGCTCACATTGGCTTCCAGTTCCAGATATTCCTTGAACGTGTCCACAGGTGGTTTTGAGCCTGTCACCGAAAAAACTTGGCTACTTTGCAAACTATGTCTCACAGAGGTGCCTTCACATAACATTTACCGACTCAAGCAATGTAACTGTTCGTTTTGCATGCAATGCATGAAAAATTACGTGGAATTTGAGATCGCTGAAGGTGCTTACGATATTTCATGTCCAGATGCTCAGTGTCCTTCCCAGGGGGTGCTTCAGCTGGATGAAATCGAAAAATTAGTCGGTTCTGAAACGTTAGGAAAGCATAAAAAATATCGTTTGAATAGGGAAGTAGAGCTGGACAAGAGCAGAACATGGTGTCCACGGGCTGGTTGTGAAACGGTTTGCGACTTATGTCCCACGCATCCCTGCTCTCCTCACAGTGTACATTGTCCCACCTGTACCACCGATTTTTGTAGCAGTTGCAAACTGGAATGGCATCCGAGTCTTACGTGCGACGAAAATGCGAAAAAATTAGCTAAAGAAGGAAAGGTAGAGGATCAGGGTATCCCTTTTGATTCGGATCTCATTAAGTGCTGTCCCATGTGTAACGTCCCCATTGAAAAGGACGAGGGCTGTGCACAGATGATGTGCAAGAGATGCAAACACGTTTTCTGCTGGTATTGTCTCGCTAGTTTGGACGACGACTTCCTCTTAAGACATTACGACAAAGGGCCGTGCAAGAACAAATTGGGACATTCTCGGGCTTCCGTCATCTGGCATCGAACTCAAGTCATAGGGATATTTGCGGGATTAGGGATCTTATTGCTCGTCGCATCTCCTCTTTTATTGCTTGCAGCACCATGTATAGTTTGCTGCAAATGTCGTGTTTGCAATCCCGGAAATAGTAACATCAACAACGATCCTGAGGTGCCCGACGACCAGACTTAATTTTGTCACAATACACTAACTTAATTAATAAATAGGGCGTAAGTTTATATATGCTCACTAATGATGATGATATAATATTAGACCGGCACATTTATTAAAAGAAAAGACAAAAGAGTTAAAAGCTTTAGAAGTCAAATTTGTCATCTTCGGTCAGATTTAATGTGCTGCTCAGATTAAAAACTAATAATAACGACTTGATTAAACAGGTGTAAGTCCACCATTCATTAAAATGAAGATAAAGTCTAATACATATCAGAAACTAATTTTAATCAGTTACTAATCGCTGTTGAAATTAAATTTGATTTCCTTTTTAGTAAATCTGCCGGTTTACTACTAAACACATATATATTTTAACATTATTTCTGTTTAAGATTTATTCCAATTATTACATTTTGGTTGTGATAGGACTTTTTTTCTCAAGTGCAAAGACAAAAGTGCAGAAAGGTGCCATTTAATTACTGTAAAAATGTTTCTGATATATATAAATATAATCGGTAAGTATTTATTTGAATAGCCGTGTGCTAGTTGATTGAAAAAAAAAGTAATAAATAATGTAATATATGAGTTTTGCATAGACGGCATCTGTGATAATGTGATAAAACTGTGATCGTATTTTACCGTCTGTGTCTTGAACGAAAAATTTCGGTTTAAGGTACATGTTCGTTATCAATAATTAATATACTGTTATTTTCACTATCGCATTAGTTAGGTCAAACTTTATATTTATCACGATATATATACTTATTATTATTATATATTACTATAATGGAATTATTATAATGAATAGCGAGAAGCACTTAATTGTATCTATAAAAGGCAATTGATTTCTATCGATATTTTTTCTTTTCCATATTATTTAAATATGTTAAATATTATGTATATTTTATTTGATGCTATACTAAAATTTATTGCAAGTATAGAAACGTACAAAAGCTCTAATTTGTTCAAACTGTATAACAGGGTAAGCTTGGGTGATCTACCCCTGTTTAATTTTGTTTCTATTAATAATATTTACACTACGTGCAATTTCCCATCAATTTTCAGATCAGTGTCAATGTTAGTTATTTTACAAAAAGAATTAAAGGTCATCCCAGTTTACCTGGCCACCAATTTTTTTGCACTTAATTAAAAAGACGTTGAAAGTACCTGATCGATAATTACCATTTTTCGTAATACTTAAATGACCATTAAAGTTGTATCAATTCTCTGTAAATAACTAAGTGGAGTTAAAACATTTATACGTATTTATGTTACAAATTTATACATATTTGGACTTGAGATGACTGTTTTATAGTTTATTGTGAGACAAATGTTAATGCTCTTGTACGTTTCTGACACAAAAGAGTTGTAAATTACTAATTTATTTGATATATATATGTATATGTATAA